CAAGTATTTAATTCCCTGTGAATTGTCGGTATAATATTGACAATAATAAGTAGTTTCCTTGAGTAATTAATAATGTGAAATCCCCACGCTGAGAGAAGACACTGGGTATCAGCCTAGGTTTTACATACTACTGTCGTTTATTAGACTGACTGGTTGAACGAGGAAGAACGGCTGCTGCTCTCTGTTAACATTGATCCTTATTTCTGAATTTTCGTGTCCCTTTGCATATTGACATTTAGTCACTCTGTGTTTAAACATGTTTGTTTTTCTCGAAAAAGACTTCATAGTTGAGAGAATTGGAAAGGCGTGTTACAAAATGGAAAGTTTCAGTCTTTGCCCCTGGGCCCCATCCTAGCGTATTTCTGACAATGCTCTTGCTATAAATATTGTTGCTAAAAATGTTTTGTTTTACAAAGACAGTAATGGACATCAGCCTCGAGGATTGCACTGAGTACTCTTGGGTCTGGGCTGAGATTGCTGCCGAGAAGCTCCTGTGGGTGCGCTCCTTCCACATCTAGTTTTAATTATTACTAATGCATACAATTATAGCAGCTATTGCAGCCTTTCTAGGTAACAACGTCACGTAGCTGGCTGTCAGTTTGCTGATTGCACTGTTTTTACTGCAGAACCGATTGGAAGTATGTCTTCCATGGAGGTGAACGTGGACATGCTGGAACAGATGGACCTAATGGACATGTCTGACCAAGAGGCGCTTGATGTCTTTTTGAACTCAGGAGGCGAAGACAATAACATGCTTTCTCCCATGCTGGGTATGATACTAGTAATGACAGTGTGCTTAGAGACAAAGCGATAGATCACCGGTATTGCTCTAATTCGTAACGGATTACATTAGCTCACAAATCATTACACTTTACGTAGGTTGAGTGTTTTTCATTAGCGGTTTTCATTACATGAACGTTCACTTGCCGTCCAAGAGAGCTTGCTGCAGAACTGCTTGATACCTCTGGACTCACTCTTTTTTTTTTGTCTAGTTACTACAGCTCCGTGTTGTATTTGCCATGGTATGGGTAGGTGATGTGTTTGTTACACGCTGCTTGTAAGGTGCGTTAGTTTCTCAGTATAAAGTTAATAGAGGACATTTTCACAAACATCAACAGAAAGTTTGCAGTAATGAGGTTTTTAAGATGGTTCTCTTAGAATTTGTCCAGAATTTTGGCATTTTGAAGTAAATTCGGACCAGTTGTATAGTGTAAGATCTTCAGTGACAGAGATGCAGAGACATGGTTCAACCCAGCAGTTCATATATATATATATCTCTCAAGCCGATGTTCTGGAAGCTTCTGAATAGCGATTCTGATGCTGCAGCTCTTTCATGTAGCCTTCTTACTGCTAGTAATCTTAGTTAAATTGGATTAAATTAATCTTAATCTGAAATTTTGCTTATGTGTTCTGATGAACAAAACCAGCAAGGTGCAGCATGAGGAGGGATCTGCTTAAAGCAGATAATTAGCAATAGTGGCTACTTTATCCATGAGGGAAGTGTGCTTTCTCAATTAGAAACTTACTTTAGTACTAAAATGCCTTTTGGAGCCAAAATAAGTTTTCTTGGGGGAGATGATGAAGCTCCTTTAAATGTACTCAGGTTTCTTTTGAAAATACAGGTTGAAATATTTTTATGAAACTACTTACAGTGAAAAAAACCAGTGTACTTTAAATCCTATCCTATATTTTGGGATATGTAAAGAAAGATGTTAATAATATCCTGGGGTGATTTTCTTCCTCCCCATGTAAAGGTGATTGCTGCCTGCCGTGAACGTGGAAAGCTTGTGGTAAGTGGTCAAGGCACACTTGACTGCTGAAGGTTTTCGTGTTTATTTGCAAAAACTAAATTCAGGTGGCTGGTTTTGGGTAGGCATCTGATGCGTGCATTATTGAAATCGATCATTGTCTGAGCCTGCGAGTAGTCACAGAATCGAGGACCCTTGCTGGGTCTTTGGCAGAGGTTGGACCAAGCAGCTTCACGTCTTAACAACAAACAGCGTAACCGGATTATCTGGGGGAGTGCAGAAACTACTCGGTGTGGTGGGTTTTTTTTCCTAAATGGATGTAAAACTTATTAGCCTTTGAAAAAACAGTATGATTTATTTTGTGCTGTAATGTAAGTATTACAGTGTCTATGTACAGCGTAGATCTATTTATTATATATGAGCACATACCCTGTAATATAACGTGCAGGTGCTGTAACGCTCTGGCACTGTAACCCTAACGCAGAGGCTGGGTAGGCTTGCAGCACGGCTTAACTCCTCTACAGTCACTACTACTGCAGTGTCACAGTCTTGTGAATCTTACTGTTGTGGTTCCAGGGGATTCATTTCCCTCTGAGTTAGGAGGGACTTTGTGCTTGCTTTAAGGACCTTGCCACCCTAGCGTCAAGCCAAATACACAGTAGTCTTCATTCTCAGAAAGATGAGATGGCTTAAAGCTGTCGCTTCATTTTGCTGTCAGTGGAGAACTGGGTTGGTCAGGGCAAGATTTGTTCCACAGTTTTACTGAACACCACAGAATACAGGTAAGTTATTTTAGTAACCGGTAAAAGTGAAAATCAGCTCAAGACATGAATTTTTTTTCAAATTTGTCTTCCTATATAAACAGGGCCAGTCATGAGCTCGGTTAATGTACTGATTTCTCGATTCGCTTGCTCGAGCCACGGCTTGATTGTCGTCGTTGTTGTTCTTTTTCCAACTGTAAGGGCCCGACTCCAACACCTACGTGAACGAGATAAGCCTTCAGGTGCCGAGCCAGTCTGAACTACGACAGAAACTGTCTTCGCTGTCATCCACCTGTACCGACTCTGCCAGCCAAGATGCAAGCGAAGGGGAGTCTCCAGTTATTCAGTCCGATGAGGAGGAAGTTCAAGTGGACACTGCTCTGGCTGCTGTAACTGAAAGAAAGGGTGCTTCAGATGTTAGTGATGAAAGTGACTCTCAAACTATTTGAATCTTAAACCCATATCCTTTAAGAATGACTTCCGAATGAATGAACCAGTGAATGAAGAGCTTGCCTGTGTAACCATTTGCTAACCAAGCAGAACACCCAGATCTTTTTACGTAGTAATATACCGCCTTTTTACAAAATTGCCAGTCATGTGGAGGTTGGTTTTTAAACAACAACAACAACAAAAAAAATGCCTAAAGCACACACACTTTAACAGTAGTCTTGGGGCTCAGGGGAGCAGCGAAACTGTTGTATATACTATGTATAAGCGAGCTAAAGGGGAAAGATACGAGTTACTTTGACCACTAACCTTTCAATGGCTGATTGGAAATACGTAGACTTGACATGTAATACTGAACCCAAATTGTTCCTTTGCATGTTTTCAGCTGCTGCAACTGAAGATTTAGGACCCAAACCAAAATGGAAAGTTATTTTCTACTCTTTACTGCCTACTGTCTGCCTACTGCCTTTGTCTACTAATGCAGCAGCGTCTACTCTCTCACACTTCTTATTCAGGACCAATTTAGTTATCAATCATAGGTGTTAAGGAAAAAGAAAGTGAAAAGGAGGAGAGATGCGTACTGAAATGTTACACTCCTCGTGGAGCAGAGATCTTAGCATTGTATAAACGTACTCCTCTTTCGAGAGAAAATAAAGTATTTCTATCCCAACCCTGTCTTTTACTTGATTACCCAAATATTTTATCCATGACAGTGAACAGAGGAGCCTTAATTCAGAAAAAAAAAAAAGGTTATTTATACTAAGCACCAGTGTAATTTAGTTTTCCCTGGTAAATTCTGTTTGACTACACTGATGCAGGCCAGCAATTTAAGGGAAATAAACCTGAATGAATTTTATAAATTAAGTGCGTACATTTTATAAACCTTAGGCCCTACAGTCGCCTTCATCTTACAGTCAATTTTTTCCACAGTCATTTTTCTCTCTGCACTTGAGGTCTGAACGTGTCTAACACCTGTTTCTTGTCAAGTCTCACGCTCTGTTTGCAGGGATCCGCTCTCCCTTTGAGAAGGCTCCAGGCTCCTGCTCCTCACGCGCGGAGGGAAGGCGTGTAATCAGAAACGGCGTAAGTAGAAGGACGAGCTGTGGTGTAGATGCCTTCCAAAGGCCTGCCCGGGGAAAGCTAACGGTTGGGCACCAGGCGTCTCCTGCTGCTCGCCAGCTGGGAAGCGGCCACCTTCCTTAAGGGTTGGCTCGCTCTCCCGTTACCTGACCAAGCCTTTCCTGAGCCCTCTCTGGGAAGCGGCAGCTCGGAGGCTCTCCACCTGCAGTTAGGTCCTTACTAGGTAACGAGGCATCTGTTGCAAGACATTTATCTTGAGGGCGCTGGCTTTACTCACTCACTTTCCAGAAGACAGACAAAATGTCCAAAAAAGTTTTGTTTTTTTTATTAAACCTCGTAGTACAAACCTGGAAAGTAAACAAAAAAAACTGGCAATAAACAACATGAAGTCTTTCCTTACAAGGAAAGAGAGCAGAGCAGCGCTAATAAATTAAATGTCAAACTGTAAGCCATAGTCAGAAGTTTACTGTCAAGAGGGAAAAGTACACAGCAAGGCCATAAAAACCAGACAGCCACATTTGAAAACACTTGACTCTGTTTATGTTATTGTTAAATATTCCAAAACAGTTCAGTCTTCTGCAACAACAACCAACAAATTGTATTATAGGACTTTCCTGACAGTCACCACTGGCAAGCTCAGTGCAATATGGGTAGCTACGGTATTGTTGAATTCAATTACGAAACAAAACAGTTTGTGAAAACATTTTCCCTTTTTTATTCCACACATACTGTACACACAACCAGAAAAGGGCAACAGCTACTCCATTATTATTTTTTGTTGTTGTTCAGTGATGTAAGCAGCACTTATAAATGTTACAAGAAAAACCCTGTAAGCATCCACTCCAACCGATGAAGAAAGTGAAACGTAAGGCTTTTCTTCATCTTGTCTCTTCGCCGTCCCTCCCCCCCCCCCAAGAAAAGCCACAAGTATTTAAAAAAATTTACAGGCATATGTACAAAAGGTGTGATTTTTTTTTTTTGTTACAACATGAAGAGAAAAAAAAAATAGACAAGATGAAAGCAAATGCATTTTCACATTCAAAAGAAATATGCAGACCTGCTAGTGGCTCTAAATGTGATCATATAATGAAACAGATTCAAAACAAAAATTAATGCTTGACTGTGTAAAGGTGGGAAAAACAGCAGTGGAATGGAAATGGAATGTTAGAAAGATTGCACGTCTATGACAAAAGAAGCACTTATGGCTTCAATCACTTTTTTTTTCTTTTTTCTTTTTTTTTTTTTTTAAAGGATGCTATTGAAGGGTTTTTGATAAAGTAGCCAACAGCACCAAAAAATAACAGAATGGATTTCCTAATGAAATCAGGCACAGTTTTCCCTCACGTGACTCCTCAAGGCAGGCAGTCTTTTTTCCTCCTTTTTTTTTTTTTTATTTTTCTTCTTTTTTTAATTTTTATTTTTCCCCCTCAAAACAGATGCATAGTGATGTGCTGGTAAAAGAGAACATACTCCAAATCTCCTCCTTTTGCCTACAGTTAGGAAACAAAGTCCATCTTCAGCTGCCATAACCTCCCAAAGAAAGTGTGTATTCTCCAATTTAAAAAATTACAAAACTCATCTTGCCGTGACAGAATAAAAGACAGCCAAAGTAAAGCAATTTCTTTCAAGTTTTTGTCTCCTATCCCTTTTCTCTCTAGAAAAAAATCTGCTCACATGACTGGAGAACAAATTATAAAACACATCAAACTTTAACCTATTCAAAAAATGGGTTAAAAGCCTTTTTTTCACAGTTACCAAAAAGGCTTTTTATTTTTTTCAGCCATAGGGACAATACAAATTAATATTTTATCAGCCCCTTGCCGGTTTTAAAACAGTGAACATACGGCAGTTTAAAAAAATCAGACTGCTGTTGTATCTATCTATTCTAAGTACAAAAAAAAAAATTCAACAGTTTAATGCTAAAACAAAATTAGTTCTCTAAAACCAGAAGAAAATCTTCTTTAGAGCTAGTGCAAAGACAGCTTGTATTCTACAGCAAGTACTCCAAACTATGGTATAATAATTACAAAAAATATATATAAATTGACAAAATGAGAGTGTTGGCATCTTCAGGATTAACTTGAAGCACTTTTGGATGAACTGGAGGATGAAAGCCTAGATGATGGCACGTCAACTGTAGCTCTCTTACGAGGTCCTCTTTTTGGTGTAGGCTTGCTGATACAGTTCTCAATGCTGCCATTTTTACCAGATACTTTTCCACAGATTTGATTGACTAGACTGATTATTTGTTCCTGTTCGGGAAGTGGGAAAAACAAAACACAAATTAGCAGCTGCTCTTTTGCCAGTCACTCCTGAGGGACAGAGACGCCTTTTTGCAGGAGGCAGTGTTGACTGAAAGCGCTGAACTTGGCCGGGGCGGGAGGGGGGGTGGGTGGAGGGAAATCTATATATTCACAAACCATGCAGAAGCTCATACGCTGCTCCTTCACCATGAGGAGCTTTGTAAAAAAGCAGCGTGTGGCAGTCCAAGTACTGCCCTTGCTGAAGCTCCCCCTCTCCAAACTTGGAAGACTGTAATCGGCAGCGCTAGAACTGCCTGAGCTCTGGCTGCTAAGCAAGAGCATATGAAGAAGCTGGGCTGCAAGGTTACTTCACTCGGGTCAGAAATGTTCTGCAGGTACAATTTAAAACATCCTGCCGAACCAAGTTCTAAATGCCATAAATTTAAATCCACAGTAACATTGCTTCTAATGTACTGTTTACTAAATATTTCTTTAAACTGAAGAGAAAGATTACACTTTTCCCTCATGGACATTCTTGTCATTGATTACAGGACGCTACTTTCATTTAATGCTTTTTAGGATCTCTGGGTGCCCAGGTGCTCTGAGGCCACGCACAGAGCAAGCCATGCAGAAAAAGGGCTACAGGTCCATGGCACGATGATGAGCGTGGGACAGGCGTCCTTGAACTCTGCACATCAGAGTGCCTTGGCTACAAGGCTACTCCTCCCATTACATTCAGGGATTTGATGAAGTTTCGGGGGCATGGGGGCAGATTTTTCTGAACTGGCTGTCCCATCCTTATAAGAATGTTGAGCAGTTATTTTTGTGCAGAGTTGAAACAGCCTCTTAATTAAGGCTACCAAACGGTTAAATAGATTTAACAAATGGCACCTGACATGCAGATTATCCCTCTCCCCATTCACAGCCCCCCCCCAAAAAACCCCTTCTGTACTAATAACCAGGCATGCAGTTAGTAGCTTTCCGAAATGTAGAAATTTTGTGGCAGTTTTTTCCATTTGCAAAACAATCATCATCATCCAGTACTGAAGGAGCGGTTTTCTTGCCTTTCCCAACGCAGCCTAAAATACCTACTTTGTAGTTACCAAACCTGGCAATATAATTATTGTCTGTGAGATTCTGCTGGCGAGAGTGGCTTTGAAAAACCTCAGCAGAATTAACAGATATTGTGAAAACATGGGATGTAAGGACTGAATAATCTCAAGAATAAGAGAAATACATCAAAATTCCTGAGTAACTTCCTGAAACTCTTCGGCATTCATTGCCTTACAAAGGCGGTTTCACTGTTGTCTGGGCTTCTTAGGTTCTGCTTGTTTCTATCTACAGTACCTGATACCAGAACAGGGTCTACAATTAAAAAGGAACAAAGCTGCAAGGACATGATCTGCCCCAGGGTTACTTTGACTTTCGGGTTTTTTTCCCCCCCATACCCCTACGCGCATGCATCAGAAACTGCCGAGAAGCCCATCACAGAGAGCTACGTGTACCAGCCCTGATCCCTCAGAGCTGATTTTGTAACTTCTCCCACTGCTCCATTACCCACAGCTGGGGCTAACATGGCTGTCCGCACCCGGAGCTAACTGGGCAGGTAGGGGGGCGTTACTTGACTGTACCACAGTGCAGCGTTAGCCCAGAACCAGGCACAGCCCTAAATCTCCAGCTTGAGTTCTGTGAGCCTTCAGCATCCCCTTCAGCCATTACCGGACCTCTCGCCTACGCGTACCCTACGAGTTTGCCTTAGAGGAGGTTCGGGCTGGACTGGAGTGAGTCAGCATGAACCTTCAGTTAGCAACAGGGAGAAGTTACCCTAAAGCACAGAGGCCGTTGTAAATTAACCGGTCAGAGCGCAGCCTCATGTTCTACAGCATCCCAAAGCATTAAGTGGCTTCTCTGTTCTGGAACACACATTCACGCATTTTACGCTTCAGGTTTCATCTTTGTAATCGTGTTTCCTTCTGTTTCTTTTACTTAGCTCATAATAAAGTGCCTTCTTCCCACACCAAAAAAAAAAAAAAAGAAAAGAAACCAAAAAACCAACCCCACCACCCCAAAGAGCAAAGCAGAGTCTCCTGCGGTCTGGGTAGGACAAAGGCAGAGCTAAGTCTAGTCCCAGGTTTTCAGCACCAAAGCTCTCCACCATCACAAAGCTGTATCGTACCGACCTCATCATAACGGTACATCATTTTCAGTCCCCGACAAGACTTCTGTTTTTCCACATGCCGCAGGGCACACTCCAAGCAGAAGACAACATTTTCGTTCTCCTGTACAACCTGGAAAAATGCAGAGATTGAGGGGGGGCAGGGGGGGGAGAGATGCAGTAAGCTCCAAACTGTAGCCATGTCACACAGGCAGTATTTCCCATTGCTGCAATGTGTGCGTTATTAAACCCGTATTTACTACAAGTTAGTGGTGGAAGGAGGCATGAAGCAGCAGCGTGACACGCTGCAAAATGATTCGGTACGTGTAAGAAGCAGAAGCGCGTACGTATCCCTTTTTGAGCGCTAACGTTGCCAAATACATAAAAATTTTTAAAACCACCACCAATAGTAATGAAGGCCAAATCCAAATAACGATAGATGCGTAAAGCTTTATTGCTATCTAATACGTAGCCTTAAAGATTTCCTGAAAGCAGCTGTTTCCCATTACTGTAAACGCCGTCTTGAATAAGGATAAAATCAGAAGCTTAGCCACAGGATTCCGCAGCTACTGTCTCATTCAGCAGAGGTCATAGCTGGCTGCCCCCCAAGCCTGCAACTCCAGCTTGGAATTCGACAGCCGCGCTGACTTTCTGTCCCTTATTACTGTTAAGAATGACAGGGGGAGAAAAAAAAAAATCCTTCCCTCGATTACACTTACTCCAGAGCAAACGGACCAGAATTAAGAGGGTTTGGTTGGGTGGGGTTTTTTTAAACAAACTCATTTTAAAGTTACTTCAAACTGGACCTGCTCAAACACTGCTTAGCTGCTCAGTGGTCTACAGACAGACAGGTATAAACCCAGCACATTCTGCCCTAGGGAGGGAAACGGCTCCGTCTCATCATTTAACAGTTGTATCGTATTTCCATCAATCCCCTAACATTTGTAACAAAAAAAATCCCCCCAAAAGATGACAGGAAAAGGACTAGATATGGACTCACATGCACTGTATCATGTTTATTTAAATACATGATCCTGGAATTGAGTGGTACAGAAGGTTGTGGGAGGGGCCTTTGGTATTTTTAATGAAACTGCTGTATTTCTGGGTGTTCTGCATACAGCTAAAAACCTGAAAGCGTCACCACAGCGGTTAGCACATCTTCAAAACTGCCAGTAGGCAATTACTTCTAAAAGGAGAGGAAGTTTCTGGGCACGACTTCTATTTTTGAACAGACAGGTTGGCACACAGCACCTTAGCTCGACAGATAGGACACATCTACCCTGGCTTGCAGGGAAACTGTCACGGTGCAGGTGGTAGCTGCGTGCCTGCGACTCAGGGCACACATTTGAGCTGCTACCTCATCCTGAGAACTGTTCTGCCATGACTTACTACTGCTGGGCAACCTGCAGGTACCCGTGGTTAGCCCCCCTGGTGCAATGCAGACATGCCTGCGGGCACCTGAGAGCGGGTGAGTGACTGGGTTTACCCCTTCCTTACAGGGGGAGGGAAGCCAGCCCACACTGACCCTTGGCTTCTGTCACCGCTGCCCAAGGCGATAAACCTTCTGACAGAAACCAAATCGTCTCTGCGTCTGGCATGGAGCATGTGAGATGACTCTGTAGTCACGTGCTGTCTCCCAAACGCTTCCAGTCCATTGCAGTACGTTAGAACGGGGGGACAGTACCCCAGCGGTGGCAAAGGATTTTACTCACCATGGAAAGATAGCACAGGTGCTGACAAATCTGACATCTCCTCTCTGACGTTTCTAACTGCAACCACTTTCGAGGCTTTTTCTTTCCATCCATCCCCGCGCTGCTGCTGTCGTGGCTGGCGGAGCGTGGCGGAGAAAGGAGACCTAAACCCCCCCGCCGCTGCCTCAGCTCTGTGTCCCTGTGAAACGTTTTACGCAATTAGACATCGGCATCGCCTCATACCACCACAAAGCCCTGTATCATCACCCTTTTACCACCATCATCACCGAAACCTTAGCTCCACACAGCAAAGCCCTGAGTGGTGTTGGAGGTTGGTGCCATTCCCTACGCGTGGCGAGAGACAGCCAGCACCACAGAAACGCTGCCTGATTGCAAAAGCCATCTCTGGATTTTAACAGCGACCACTGTATCAAGCCAGTGGTTCTCAAACTGCTCCACAGAGAACTGGGGACTGCTGAGCACTTCCTGGAGGTCGATGGTTGCTCGGGGCCATGTGGAGAGTCAGGAGATGTGGCTAACATGACTGTCATTCCTGAAGTTGCCAAAAGCCACCCTGAGGAGGAGGAGCCGTTGCTGTCAGGAGTAACACAGCCACCTTCATCAGGAGGCAGAGAAGAACCAAGGGCCAGCTGCCGTGAGGTGCTTCAGGCAGGAAAGGGGGAGCAGGGCAAGTGATTGTGCCAAAAGATGAAGATCTTGCTGTACACCCAGGGGAAAAAGGAGATATCAATTAAGACTAAGCCCTCTTAGCCGCCCTTCACCCACAGTGTCCGCAAGCTGGACAATAGTTCCTATGCTGAACAGGACAGCATTAGGAGAGCGGG